CTTGTCCCGCACTCCACTAGCCTAAATTGGGCGTATGGCCCGACCTGGCGACAAAATTTCGGGAATGGCCTTAACCATCGACATTGTCATCCACGACCTCATAGGGGAGATCTACCAGACGGCGTAAAAATTCGGATCCAACAAACACAGGTAATGCTGTGCAATTGCGGGATACGTAGGAGAACGGAAAGGGAGTAAAATAACCTTCGGAGATCAGTGTAAGGCGATGTCAATGGGGCCTGCCATACGTCCTCATACTTGTACTCATACATTTCACAAACTGAAAGCTGGCAAACATGCACTTTGTGTATGGATTTTGTAATGGTCGTGCTATGGCAAACCCGAAGAGGTTCTAAATGTCAAAATTTCACCATAAATGAAATCTTGTATCATTGGATCATTTTAAACAATTAATTTTACAAAAAAATCAAAACTAGTTTATATGTAATTGTTCGAAATGGTACCCATTTTGCTTAACGCATAGTCGGTTCCGATGACAAGGCTCGAGAAGCTCTCAAAATTTGAAATCGGTCCTTTTTGATTTCATGGGCAGCTACATTTATTCTTTGCAGCAGCTCCTCGCGCTTATTGACCTTAGTGGCATACACCAAAGAATTTAGATGCCCCCAAAAATAAAAGTCTAATGGGGCCAAGTCGGGAGATCGGGCTGGCCTAGCTAAGGGCCCATTACGACCGATTCACCGATCAGAAAAAATACCGTTCCTATGCTTGTTTGGGGGTCATCTTCAAATGCTTTAAGGCAATTTTAATTGCCTGATTCCTATAGGGTCGCCCTGTCCTTAAACACATCTAAAGTTTCTATTTTCCGTTAAATTTTGATATATGCAGGTGAACATTTGACGGGTAGGAGCTATTTTGTATTCATGCTCAGCCGCACGACCATTACAGAATCCATACACGAAGTGTAATTTTTTTTAGTTTTAAACACCCTGTCACTTATTACATGACTGTCACTTTTCCTAAAGATGGCAGTTGTGTTCCATGGCCTACGCTGAATCGTTTCCTCTATAGTTGTGATTTCATTATGAATCTTTATGGTAAGGTAATTTTAAAATTGATTTTAAGGGAAAACGGTGAACGATATCAAAGTTTAACAAAAAGACCTTTTTTTATGTAAAACTCCGATATTTAATAATCTCAAACGCTCGTACAAGATACGTACAAAAAAGTTAGGGTGGTTTTAACCCCACTTCCTATCTATCTGATCCACCCCACATGGAAAATTTAAAATTATTATCATTACATCTTATTGGCCATCAATTTATAAAATTTCACTTTTCTATTTTAAACAGTTTTGGAGATATTAAATAAAAACCATCTTTAGGGGCTTCTCTTTCGAGGGCCTTAGCTCCCTTAGGAAGCATTTCTTGATCTATGTATAAAGTATTGCACGCTAATTATGGGACACCCTGTATATAACAAAAAACATATTACCCAATAGGAGTAGTAAAATAATTTAAGCAGGTTCTATTCTTCAATATACAGCAAATGCATGAGGGTGGAAATAATGGACCACAGAGTGTGATGGACTATTTTTAAACCAAATAACCTATTATACAGGGTGATCCACCTAACTGATTCAATAGAGGTGCCAATTTATACATATTCATTATTTGACAAATAGGAAATTTAAAACCATCCAACGCATACTTGTGACAATACGCAAGAGTCGAATGAGTGTTTTTTCACATTTTAATATCTCTGTAAATATTTATTTTAGATGTATGGTACTCTTCAACATATCAATTGAGAAACATATTCCGCGTCGGTGTCAAAATTTTATGGTTGTTTCATTTTAAAAGTTATTGGCATTTAAAGTGGCAAAAAAGTAAACGGAAATACCAAACACCCTGTCCAACATTTTGGAATAAATAAGTGGCTTCTGATAGGATACGCCTTTGTTAACGTGAATGAACTTTTCAACATAACAATTGTTTGGTGACATTTTAGTTAGTAACTTCATTTGAATAAACTAAATGTTTCAAAAACTATTGAAGATAGGAAAAGGGTTCATAATGCAATAGCTCCAGAATTTTACGTGAAATTAAATAATGCAATAATATTTATAGAGTTCTGTTTAAAAAACAAAGTTACTGATTCAACCGACAGCTTATTAAAATTTAAGAATAAACATCGCGCTATAGCTGCAAGCAAAATTTCAGATTGATGTCTTTTTTAGTTATTACTTTGTGATTGATTATGACATAGGCAATTAAAAATGATTTAAAGACTAAATTTTAGTCCAATTTGGTTAGGTATTTAAGACCAATGCAGTAAAAATTCATTGTTTACAACATTCGTAACTTTGGACCAATAAAAAAATTTGACTTATGTCAGATCGATCTAACTTCACTTTCTACTTTTAATAATTGTATGTTTTATGTATTGTTTGACAAATAAAATTGTGCTTTGAAGAAAACATGTTGTATGCCATTCAGCTGATAACTTATCAGTAATAAGTGTCTTTTTGTGCTTGTAGGCCTCCGCTACGAGTCGGCCTTCAAACTTAAATAACTATTTTGTGGCTGATAATTTCCATTTTGAGGCAGAAAACGTATTTTTAGCAGGACAATGTATATAACATAAAACTTTAAAACTCTTTTAACAGATACCACTTCACAAAATTAGGATTGTCAATTGGTAATCATTTTTTTAATACATTGTTTTTTAAATATTTCCAATAAGCAATCAAAAAATTCCAAATCAATTTGTTTGCATCATAGAACATTCTATTTATTGTCATATTCGGTTCTATGTTTTTTATAATATAATATAGGTATATATAATAATAATACAATATTTTTCGCGACCGTTTCATCGGGTCCTTAAAATTAATCTGCTCTAATAAGTCAGAGCAATTAATAAAATTATTTTGCAATTTAAATAGAAATATAATTGTATTGTATTTCTTACCAATTCTAAGCTATATTTACATTCCATGTTTAATTTCAATCCACAATATCGCAAAAACTTGTTTTAAACTCTTTCAATTCTTACAAAAGAATTAACATAAAGAGGGGACCAACTTAAACAACAATACTCTAAAATGCTATGTACATAGGACATATAAACATTGAGCATTAAAATCTTTCATACTCCTCTTAACAAGTCCCAGCATTCTTGATGCCTTAACATGGTATCAACGTTTTCTAAAATAATATTATTTAATAGTACGGATATATCACATGTTTCTTGTTTCTATAAAAACTAATACATTTACATTTATTAACATTTATCTCTATAAAATTTATATCACCCATATTTGAATTTGATTTAAATCAAATTGAATATTATAACAATATTTTAAAGAATTTACTTTTATATATAATTTTAGATCCTCGGCAAATAACAAATACAAAAACAAAACTTAACACAACGGCCAATATAATTTATAAATAAGTTAAATAAGAGAGGGGAAATATGTCCTTCTTGTGGCACGCCAGAAGTAACCTCAATTTTTTAAGACTTGTATTGATTTTGTATGATAATTGTTACTTAAGTAACTCTCCAACCAACAGTAAAAGTCTTCTGATATGCCCAAACCCTTCATTTTTGCTAGCAAGATTTGATGGTTAACTATATCACATGTCTTGGAGAAGTCTGGCTTTATTTCTCCAATACTTTTAACAAATCTTGTTCATAAAAAAGTAAATTTGTGGACGTAGACTTACCTTTGCTAAACCCATGCTGCTTATTTATTAAACAAAATATTTTTAAACAAAGGTATAAAGATTACTGAATTTTTGATTTTTTTTTTCAATATAAATATTTTCCATTAAAATGAGCTTGCTAATCACCTACTAATCCTTTTCCCCATTCAAAAAGTACTTTTAGTTAAATATAGCTCTTATAATAAAAAATACAAAAATATGCCAATTTTAGATTAAAACCGCTTTAAAATAGCACAATATCGATAAATAAATTTTTATTTAAGAATCATGGCAGGTTTCTTGGGCTCTTTTTAGTGAAAAATCGACTTTGTCAAATAGGGCTCAGGCAATTCACAAAAAGAAATGGCCAAAAATCATTCAACTTTACAAAATGAGTAAGTAGGTATGACTACCATTAATGTGGCTGCATGGTATACCATATATATTTACAAATGGTATACTGCATGGAATACAAATATCTAATATTATAAATAATAACTTTAGAAATTATTAGTATTTTTAGTACTGTAACAATTTTTTATTAAAAGTATGAGTATGAGTATAAGGTATGTGTAACTGGCACTATCAACATTGTCATACACTGTGGATTTAAAGGGAAGCCTCTGCGTGCAGCGAGTAGACACACTTACGGTCCATTATGCAAACCCCCTTTTGGTGAAGCGTTTAAGAATAGCAGGTTCTCGCCCTATAAGTGGTACTGCCATCACGAGCCAGCTGGTCTGCTTCCTCGTTGCTTTTGATGCCTCGATAACCCGGTACTAGACAAGGGTGACCTTGTTGAGCACACTAAGTAATTCTAGGGTTTTCATTCAGTCCAGCGTAAGTCTCGAGTTGACTCTTTCTGAGTTCGGAGTGCTACCTGACTATCGCTACCTATGTAGATATGTTTACCCGAGTAACCTCTCTGGAGATTCTCTTGGGAGCAGATATAGACTTATAAGTGTAAAAATTAGTGTACGCTTGAGAAAAAAATACATTATGACTGAAACGCACTCTAGGGAGAGTAACGTGGAGCTAGCGGTGATTGTGACTGAAGGAATAAGCGCACATAATGCTAAATGCAACTTAACCGTTGTATTAATATATTTCTTATACAAAAATTCTGTATCCTCCTGTGAGTAGGTAAACACAAACGTTCTTCTTAAAATCACTTCACATCCTTTTGTATTAGCACATGATTTAGAAACCTGTATAGGAATAAAAAAATATGTTGGTTAGTTAACCGAGTTTCGCTAGTTTTTTGTTTAAATTTTGAAAATACATCTTGTATTTTAATGTGTATTATTAATATTTTGTTTTCTATTTCAGTCAAAATTCTACGGTGATATTGGCGAGAAACCGGCACAATAATAATTTCCCTAACGCAATATGTAAGCACTTCCATTTTAAGTAATCAATTCAAACTATTTTAAACCAGATGATATATATATATATATATATATATATATTATATCAATATATATATTTTTAATATAAACACATTTAACGCAACTGTAGATAACATTTTATATACAATTATATTATTCTTATATTACTATATTTATGTAAATAATTGTTAAATTTAACTTCCATTAATATTTAAATGCTTGACAGGTGTTTCTTGGTCTCCTTGAAAAGGGGCTCAGTAGAATTTAAAACTTTTTATTATAAACAAGCAGTTTTTATTGTTCCATTTTTTCATTTTTATAGGTATAGTAGTAATGGAATGATATGTAGATGTTAAGAATATAAACTTAATAAGTATTCCAGTCAATTGAAAAATTTATAATATAACTACTTATCCACCAGGCAGTCATTATGCATAGATAAGTAATATTTAAGTTCAATAAAAAAAACTGATAAATTTTTCAAAATGACAATATACTTTAACAAAGAGGTGCTAATGTGTGGCTTGGGTTCAGCTGTAAATAATCCTATTTATTTATTTTTAAAACAATTTTGGTGTTAAATTATTTTCTTAATGTTTACATACACTAAGATGTAGTGTATTAATTTGTCAAGGCCAAATATGTTACTGAGGGCCCAATTGTAAGTTTAGTGTTAGTGCAGTTTCATTATTTTTAATTGGTACCTATTCTTTTTATCTCAAAAACAATGAATTGAATGTTAAATTAACAGCTGTGATATGTTGGCCTACCGTATCCTAAATATACTTTAAAATACTGTAAAAAAATTACTGTTTCTCACTTGCTTCTGTTTATGCAATTCATCACGTAATTATCATTATAATTATTAAATATTAAGGTAATTGTTGAGATTGATTGAATCATTAAAATATTTATATTTAACTATATTGTTTTTTAATTTACCTGTTGATTACATAAAATCATCATATATTATTAAAAAATCATTATTGCAAAAAGTAAATATAATTATAATTTATTTAGGGAAGCAGTTTTCCTTGTGCACATTAAAAATTTCTACTGTATTATATTTTTCATTTCAAAAAGGAGGGATTTAATTAAGTTAGGCATTGATGCATTTATAATGTTGATTATATATTTCAGCATAGCATAGCATAGCTTTATAATTTGAGGGGTGAAAAAATAGGAATTCAAAGTTAAATGAACATAATATTAAGTTTTTTAGGCGTCGCTAATCAAAAGTCAGTATTAAGGATTAACAATGAACATCGAAACCTGAAGATAACGCGCTCCTCACGACTACCCGTTTTATCGCGCGCGCCAGTGCAGCGCGTCTTCTTACAAATGTTTTTATCTCAATTTCTAGAGGATATTAATTTTTTCTCTGAATGCAATTCTATTTAATAACATTTCTTTTGTATACGCTATTTTTTTCGTTACAATTTTTTATAAATATTAACATAAAAAATATATTAGCATGCCAATTTTGAAGGTTATAATTTGTTTTTATCAAAACAACTTTGAAATATAATTGATTCAATTTTTAAAATCAACGCATTACTTTAGGAGATATTAATTTCTCAAAAAAGTGTCTTAAAACTTTTTTAATTAATGTTTGGGACAAACAATTTTTTTGAAACGAATTCTTTGGCAAATCGGTGAGGTTGCTTAAACTTTACCCAAAAAATATTTTTTGAACGAAAAATTGGAATTGAGGGTTTTTGGGTGGCCCACTTGAGAAATTTTTACCCAGTTTCAGTGTGATACGTATATTGTTGTAGATCAAGAGAATTTTTAAAGTTATTCGAACAATGGAACTAAACTGAAAAAATTTTCACGCAATAATTTTTTACAACTTTCGTAGACAATTATCTCAACAAGAATGCCTCGCCGAGTTGGTTTCTATTTTCGGCAATAAATCACCACATAGTCGGCAAGTTCTCGTTTGTAAGGAGAATTAAAACGTGGACGAAAATCCAAACGTTGATGCTGTTCTCAAGCTGATCAAGGATCATTAGGGATTTCAAAGACCTCAATTCAAAAAAAAATTGTATAAGGAATTGTCAGTAAATAAATTAGTGTACCATTGGATACCGCATCGGTCGAACAAAGAACAGCTGTTCTAGAAAGAAGCTAGGGTCAATTGGTGTCAAAAAACTTTGGACCGCTCAACGCAGGAAACTCTAAAAACGTGGTCAGCATCGTCAGTGGTGATGAATCGTAGATTTACTCATATGAACCCGAAAATAAACGCCAGCCTTCTGTTGGGGTAAAGAAAAACCAACAAAAATCCGTTCTCGAAGTATGTTCAAAAAGATGGTCTCGACATTTGTCTCAAAAGCAGGCCATGTAGCAACAATTTCTCTGCATGATAAAAGAACTATTACTGCCGATTGGTATACAACCATTATTTGCCGAAAGTCATCGCTCAGCTTTGAAAAACCATCCCCCAACGACAATTGAATTTTTAACGCAACAAAACGTCGAATTATTAAACCATCCTCAATACAGTCCCAACGGTTTCTTTACCTTTCCGAAAATAAAACAAATATTTAGTTAAATAATAAAGAGAAAAAAAAACACTTTAAAATTAAAAGAATATTTAATAAAAAAATTAAATTCCTATTAAATTTTCCAGACCCATCAAAAAAATTCCAGGGTATTTTATCACCTTTTGTATTATACTTTATATAAAATAAATTTAAAAATGCCTGTTGCAATAAAGTTCAAAAAATTAATAAAAATGTTTAGAACAATTTTCGAAAAACGACCGACCTTCATGATAGTTTTGCCAGTTTTCCTGTATATTATTTGGTACACCTATAATAGCGGTTGTATGGATTAGGGTTCCCAACCGTCCCGCTTTGGCCGGGATCGAACAGGTATTAGAAATTATGTCCTGGTGGTTTTTTTATTTTCCGGGACTACCGGAAATCCCGGTTTTTTAAAATAGAATCAAAGTGTAAATAACACCCCAAAGCTATGTCACAAAAGCGTTATAGGCTCAATTTTTTTAAAAATATTTTCCGATTTTAAACCAAACAGTTTGGAAATTATTAATAAACACACAAGCGCAGGTGCTTATTCTACTCATTCTACTCATTCTCAAAATCCCAAGCTGTTCCCAATTTACTTGATTTTTCATTAATCATTACTAAACATATCTCTGTGTAGGATATTTTTTTTATTTGAAGAGCTACAGTTCGGTTAAATTAGAGAAAAGTTACGTAATTACAAGCCTATTCAAATGAAATTTATAAATTTAAAAAAACTAAAAATATTATATTTCAAAACCAAAAATCGTTATTGCTGGTTATTAAAAAAAGTTTTACATTTTGTATGAAGCGGGTCCAGAAATATATTTTGGTTGGGTGGGGTTACAAAATATTTATATACAATGTGGTCCACAATCGTATGGAGAAAAAACTATTTAATCTTGCCTGTACATGGCTCATTTTTGTATGTGATTATGCAATAATATTCTTACCACATTTAAACCCTCTAGGTTCCAATTTACTGGTCGCCCAAAAGGTAAGTATCTTATATTAATGGAATTAAATACTAATGGATCTAAAAAAAATTGACCGCGTCGCTATATTTATCACCAGGAATGGCCATGAAGAACATTTGGGCATTCCAAAAATCGATAGAGAGGCATAAAAGCCTCAGGCTCAAGCATGCGTTAAAGCAAGAAATGTTCATTAAAGGCATTGTATTTGATACGCCACACTGGATCTTTGAACAATTTCTTGAACGTGTACTTGTCTAGATTGATGTCGGCATCATTTTATGGAAATTATACTTTTGGCTGCTTTCTTATGTTCGTTCGGCTCTACTGATGGTCCAGAAGCTGTACTATTCATCCGCCCTTAGAAAGCCTTACCAACTATTGATCAAACTGCTTATGGCACCAGGGACCCGGTCCCAAATGAAATAACGGTTTCTGTCCGGTTCCGAGAGAAACTACAAATTTCGGTTCGGGTTCAGTTACGGTTACTCGGAAATTTTTGTAGCGTCCGTTACAATCAAAAATTGTGAGGAAAACTACCTTAATTATTATGCTTATAAGTTTAAGCCTAATTATTACAAGCATAATAAACATGTTTGCAATATTAACTATGGTAACAGTATTTAATTTAATTACGGTAGCTTTTAATCACAATTTTTGATTGTAACGGACGCTACAAAAATTACCGAGTAGCGTGGAATGGCTCACCTACTCAAATTATAAAATGACAACTTTTTTTTGACATGTAATTAAATTACTTTGTCTCTTCTTTTTTTTCAAATCAGGTTCTTAAATTTTAGGCTCTTTATTTTCTTTTTCTTCTGATCTTAAGATCACAATTGTGACTGAAAAACTGGAAAATTCATATTTGAAATTAGTTATGGATAAATCCAAAAATAATATTATTATATAATACTAAACTATCAGCTTTTTTTTTCTTTTTTTCCAAAAATTCTGTTGGTTCTCGCAAATAATTGTTCCTCTAAATTTTTTTCTTTTATGTTTGATCTTGTTGGGGAAAGTAAAAATTTGAGACCAGAAAACAACCTCAACGCTTACTTAAGTCGGTTTCATATGATATATATATGGGTTCCCCAGTAGGGTAATGAAGGAGGTAGGACGGAAGGGATAGACAGTTTGGTGTTTGGGGGACAATTACGCCGACTTAAATCTAAGTACGACGCGATACCCCCCTAGACCAGGCAGTTAGTATTACTCCAAACATTTGGGATTACTGTATGGAGTTCGGGAGTTGTTATTTTGCTGCAGGAGCCTACGTCTTGGCCTACGTTTTTGTCGTTATTGTTCGTGTCCAAGTAGGATTGTTCCTGCACATATGTCTTCAGTCTTGAGGCCGAAAACCATCAATAGATAGTTCAGTAGCTGGATATGTAACTTGTAGCTTTTGATGTTTTTTTTAATTGTTTATTGCAGCAGTAGTGCGAAATTTCTAACCATTTTTTTAGTTATTGTGTTGCCCAAGCTCGTTTTGTGGTAGAGTTTTGTCTTTTTTTATCTTAAATTTCAAAATTAAGTATTGCATTTATTTATTAGTTAAACAAATGACAAGCGCAATTATTCTGTTATA